ACAAAACAGGGTTAATATCCATCGTCTGAAAAGTCAATTGAATTCTTGTATTTATGTTTTAAATATAATATTTATTTTTCTGTGAATTTTGTTTCGGATGTTAAACTGTTTTTCTAATGAAATGGTGGGTTTTACTCATTTCAAAAACATGTGAATCATCGATTAGAAATGCTTTTTGTGCAATCATTATATAGGGTCATACAGAAAGGTTGTTTCCGGCTATAATTTCTATTTCTCTGGAATGGCTTAATATTTTCAAAAGCGGTTTGTTTTACTGAATAGCCTAATAATCCGAGAATTTTAGGCACAAAAAATAATTTTTTAATTTTAACGCTTTCTATGGAATTTCGGGACCATCTCCGGGACACCTTTTCCGGTCACTTGGCCAAAATGTACAGGGTTTGGTCATATTTTTGAAATATATTAAAAATTTTCCAAGTTTTATTATAAGATTTTCCCAAATTATGGACACATCCTGTACATTTTGGCCAAATTCGTGAACTTTGACCCTTCACAACTTTTGTGTTTCTCAACCGATTGGACCGATTGAGGGCTCAAATGAAAGGTCTATTCTTCCTCTATCGGACACATACCACACTTACCAGACGTGGGCACCGGAAGTGACCGGAAAAGGTGTCCCGGAGATGGTCCCGAAATTCCATAGAAAGCGTTAAAATTAAAAAATTATTTTTTGTGCCTAAAATTCTCGGATTATTAGGCTATTCAGTAAAACAAACCGCTTTTGAAAATATTAAGCCATTCCAGAGAAATAGAAATTATAGCCGGAAACAACCTTTCTGTATGACCCTATATAAAGCGTCTCAACTGCTCGTTGTCTGCATTCAGACCATCGACTTGTTGTTTCAGACCTGAGTTCTCGTTCACCACCGATGCCTGACTTCCCAACACATACATCATCCCCGGGTTGGCCACGGAGTTCATCACTGACAGCACCTATACGTCAAACGAGGAGACAATCGCCTTCTTCTTAGTCTTGAGATGTGGTTGTCTTGAGATACGCGACACGACTGTCACCACTGTTTAGTGACAATCAGTGGTAATAATGGTATGTATTGTATGTATATTTGTATGCAATTAATGCCACAAATAATACAAAACAATATTAATAGACGACTACTAGTGATGGCTTATGGGAGACAAACACTCACACAATGCTATGGCTATGGCTCTCGCGATAATCAATAGCCGCTCTCTCAGAGACTCTCTTTCTCTCTCTTTCTCTCTCTTTCTCTCTCTTTCTCTCTCTTTGGAGAGTATTTAGTGAACAATAAAGTGAGTGAAGCGCTAGTGATGAACACCAGTAGGTGTGGCCTATAAGCAGGCATTGGGTTGGGGGCACCACTTTGAGCGCCATATATTAGCGTGGTTACTTTGGCAATGGCATATGTTTTCATTGCAAATCAATTTAGTTTATGCCTTGTACAATTAAATTTAATAAATTTAGTATTAACTCAACTATTTAACTGATAATATATAATTCTAAAAATAGGTGCAAGCATACTTTGTGGATTTACGAACCCATATATAATTCCATTAACACTGGTGTAGTATTTCTCTATAGACTTTCAATGGATTGGTTCAACAAAATGTTTGCACATTTGAGCGCACGTTATTTATATGACATTATAAAACGAGGTCCCTGATCAATTATCGTAGGAATATTAATATTGCACTTTTGAATTATATTCATTACTCATAGATAGCGTCTCGATTAGGGATTCTGGTAACAAATTCGTGATTTAAAACTTATATAAATTCTTTTGTGCTTGATACAACTATTCTGTTTGATTATTCTAGCAATAATAATTTAAATGGCAAATGTCCCTGTTCATTTGTCTTGTCTTTATTGTGTATTCTTGTGTTTAATTAAATTGAAGATTAAATGAGAATTTAGTTTTAATTAATGAATGAATTATTAAATTATACTATTACTCTCACTACTAAACATTCAGTATTTATTTATAACATTACTTTTAATTAAATAACAATTAGATCTTGATAAATTAAAACTTAATTATGGACAACTCGGTTTAACAATTCATAAATTTTTGAAACTATAAATCTGTAATTTTCTAATTGTTAATTAGTTATGAGAATAAGAATATAAAAATAAATATTATTATAACTTAAATTTTTAATTAAATTAAGAAAAACAAATGGACATTTTAGAGAAAATAGTGGTAGACTAGTGTATGTGTAATACCACTTCAATACTCAACTCCCTTTCATATCAATTACAAAAATCGGTCAAAATTACTCAAAAAACATATTTCCTTAAAAAAACTATATTTCATTAAAATATTCTACATTATAATTTATACTAAAATAATGTTAAAATTGTTAGCTTTAGTAGTAATTTGTGGTAATTATGATAACAATTCCTTGCTAAATTGTACACAAACTGATAAAATAATAAACTATATGAATGCATAGGCTATGGGTTGACCACAACGGGAGTGGAGGCCAACAGACCCCACAAACTTCGAGAACTCTATGAATTAGATTACCTGTTGACCTACAACTACCTGAAACCGGGCCGTATGTTCCCCGAAACGGCCCATAGTATACATAACGTGTGGTGCAGGTTAGTGTCGTAAATCATAATTATCCAGCACATAATTTAATTCATCTGAGCTTTAAAACAATTGCTACAATTGTATTGAACAGACACAATGTGGGCAAAAGTATCCGCATAATGGAGTTGACAGACAACATATTCAGCGTCAATCCGGGCATACAATTGATAATACGGATCATAGCCATGAATCAAATCAAATCATTGCACGGTTTGTGTCGCAGTCCGGTGGCGTTGCATGTGGTCGGGCAGTTCATGAAACTTATGAACAATGCTTTCCCACGACTATTAGCACTCTTCCACGTTATGCGCAACACATTCCTGTGGGCTGCCCTCCCCCACTCACCTATGGATATGAGTGATCTACACTGGTCAGTTTTACTTATATCCTTTTTATCAGTCATATTATATACAACATATTCTAATTTTATATTATTACATGACTTATGGGAACGGGTAGTTTGATTAGAAAGTTTATAATAACGGGAATGCATGCAATAGCCCGGACTATGCCCCCCGAATTGGTCGAGTACTTGAAACACGAAAAAATGAGGGAAATTATCCGAAAGATGCCCATCATTAAGCTGGCCTTCAAACTGCTCCACATTAACCCCCACCAACACCACTGTCCCATTCCCTTGGCCGTCGCCCCCAACCCCCTCCATATCAAGTCCGACTGTTTGGCCCTTTTGTTCGCTTTCGATAGGATTACCCGTTTGAGTCACCATTTGAAGTAGAGTTTGCAGAGTTGATACACAACTCAAAATGTATTGATTTTATTGGAAAAATAAATAAATAATTTATTAATTCTAAGCATTAAATAAAGTTATATATTTTACGACATAATGAATTTAGTTACAATACAATATAACAATTGTTTGTTTAGCGTATAAATTAATTGCACTTAACTGAAAATTAATACATATTTGCTTACAAATTATTGGTCTATTTAATATGTTTTAACAAATATTCTCATATATGATAATATTATTATTAATAATACATCATTTATTCTATATGTTAACATTTATTTCAATTATTCTCTAATCCTTTTAGTCAACATATTTGATTATTTTTATGATTTGTGCCCACTTTGTCATGATTTCAATATTAGTTGAGATTTAAAGTAAAACATTAGTACAACCAGTTCACTGTATATCTTACTTTTGCTTTTTAGATATATTTAAGGACTTTTAATAACAACTAAGATTTAATAATAACATAATCATATCATATGGTATGTGCCAAAGTGCAAATGCCCTTAATTTTCTATAATGAGGGTTTACTGATAATTTCTACATTATTACATATTTAGTATAAGAATTACATGTCATATAAAATACAGAATAAAGAAGTAAATGCTTATTAATCATTGATTATGTGATATAAACAAAAATACTTTTCAAACATTGATTTTATAAAACTCTAATCAAAATGACATTCAAATGTAGTTCTGTTAACAAGAATTCATGCGATAATTATAGGAATATTTTGGACATACTTTGGGTTTAACTCAAAAGATTAAGTAATATGTTACGTGTTTTGATGTGGGGTTTAGTGTTAAGATTATACTTAAGCCATATTGAAGTCGATAATATGACGTTGAAGTATAGTATGTTTGACGGACTCTATTATAAATCTCATGTTTTCCGTATCGGTTACACACGTAAAGTGACTGAAAATATATTTATCGGGGAATGGGTTTAACGACAAATACATTTTGAGTACAAAGTCGCGCGCCGGGAGGGCCTCCTTCACGGGGCCGTCGTATTCAGGAAAGTAGTCGACGAGATGTGACAACACTATCTTCTCCTCAAACAAATCGGTTTTGTTGAGGAATAGTATGAAAGACGAGTCCATAAACCACTTGCAGGTGACTATGGTGTGGAAGAGGGCCTGCGATTCCTCCATACGATTCTGCATATAGTGGTGGTTATGGTTGCACTCGAATAATGTCTGATCGTATTCATTGAGCGCCGCCAAGAAGATAATGGACGTCACGTTCTCGAAGCAGTGGATCCATTTCCGCCGCTCAGACCTCTGGCCCCCGACGTCCACCACACGGAAGCGCACAGAACTTAACTCAAAGGTATATTCATTGATACCTGTAGTCGGTATGCGAACTCTCAGTATATCCTCTCGAGTGGGCGTATAGGTGGGCGCCGATAGTCTATCGATGTCTTCGAAGTAATACTTTGCAGAATCACTCAATTGGTACTCATTTCGACGGTTATAACACTTTTGCACTCCAGAGTCATCCCATAGTTGTTTAACAGCCGATACTACCGGTGCGCTCAGTTGTGTCAAGTGGTACACCTTGTAGTCGACATAAATTGTCTCTAAAAGCTCAGCATTTGTGCGGTTGTCATCGTTTTCATACTTAATATTCAAGTCATTCATGGCTTTAATGATAGACTGAATTGCGATAATAATGTTGTGATAAACGTATTGAATATAACTTTTTCTCTCAGACTCTGTGTAATCGCTGTTATGAATGATTCGCATTTGTTTAACGAAAGTACTTTTACCGGACTCTCCCGTTCCCAACAACAGTAATTTGAGTTCACGTCGGGCGGCCTTTCTGTCCCTTTTGAGTGTCTCATCAATTAATTTGTTGATCTTTTTCTCCTCCTTTTCCAGAGAGATGTCTTCACCACAACGTTTCACACAAAACATACTGTCCTTTATTTTGTCGATTCAGTTCAATCAGCACTAAATACAATATAAAAACTACAAAAATATTCAATATTGGCACAAGTAGTTGAAATTTTATTACACCGGTATAAAACACTTTATAATATACTGTAGTATAAGATTTTGTCGATTCAGTTCAATCAGCACTAAATACAATATAAAAACTACAAAAATATTCAATATTGGCACAAGTAGTTGAAATTTTATTACACCGGTATAAAACACTTTATAATATACTGTAGTATAAGTTATACTGTATAACAATGATATAAATATTGATAACGAGTTACTAATAAAATCTATCAAGTATCCAATTTCCAAATGTAAGAATTTAATCACAATATGTTATATAATAACTTGAATAACATTTTATATAAATAAATATCATGCTTATTTTGCATCAATTTTATAAGCTTATTAAGTTACCAAATTATGAATTTTATCATTATTTATTAGAGAAAGCAATTCTCAATCATACAAAATGTTTTAATATATTTCAGTTTTAACACAAGAATATATACACAAAACAATATTCTGAACGCTATGTTAACACAAGAATTTCCTAAACATCAATACAGATGTGACTCAAACAACAAAAATTAAAAACATTTTTAAATAAATTGAAAGAGAAATTTCATTTTATATAAAGAAAATGATTGTAGGCATACGATGTCGTATGGAATCGAGTGTTGGAATAAAAATCTGTATATTTGTGTTAAGTCTAAGTCATTACTAGAGCACTGCCTAAAACCCCGGCGCTGGTTGTCATGATTGTTGTAAAGATTAGGCGAACTTTTTGTTTGTATTTAATGTTATGTTTACAGCACTTAATCACTAGATTCTGATCGTTAAGATTATTAGGCAATGAGAGTGTGTGTATGAGCTCTCTCTCTCTCTCTCTCTCTCTCTCATTGGCAAAGAATTCGTGTGAACTGCTGTTTATTGTACTATAAAATGGAATAAAAGTGGAAATTCATGTGATCGATAGGAAAGTCCTCATATATATACATCACATTCCCCTCAAAATTTGTTTGGAATTTCTAATATAAACTTATTCTTCAAACAATAGTTTACATAAACTTGAAATTCTCGTTCGGATATAAGTTTATATAAAATTGTCTCAAAATTCTGAACAAAACATTTGCTTTCCAATGAAACAAATGAATGTACTAATGAAAATTCCTACTTATATTACCGCTATTATAGCTTAACATAAGAATATTCTCACTTTTACTATGAATATTCATTTTCTGATAGACACGCGAAATATTTTCGTATAAAAATAAATAAAAATTCTCGGTTCACACAAAACAGGGTTAATATCCATCGTCTGAAAAGTCAATTGAATTCTTGTATTTATGTTTTAAATATAATATTTATTTTTCTGTGAATTTTGTTTCGGATGTTAAACTGTTTTTCTAATGAAATGGTGGGTTTAACAGGGTTAATATCCATCGTCTGAAAAGTCAATTGAATTCTTGTATTTATGTTTTAAATATAATATTTATTTTTCTGTGAATTTTGTTTCGGATGTTAAACTGTTTTTCTAATGAAATGGTGGGTTTTACTCATTTCAAAAACATGTGAATCATCGATTAGAAATGCTTTTTGTGCAATCATTATATAGGGTCATACAGAAAGGTTGTTTCCGGCTATAATTTCTATTTCTCTGGAATGGCTTAATATTTTCAAAAGCGGTTTGTTTTACTGAATAGCCTAATAATCCGAGAATTTTAGGCACAAAAAATACCCAACCCATACGCCGACGCCAATAAGAAACCCATTCGTCAGAGACTGAGACCGGGATTTAATTCATTGCCCGGTTTGGACGGACTCCGGGAGTTAGCAGGTCTGCCAGTCTTTGTGTCCATTTTCGTGTCTTATTAGTCATTATATTGTTATTAAAGGTTTGTTTGCAATGAAGAGTGATTCCAGAAGTGATTCTAAGAACGACTCCAATGGTTACCATTCTTTGTATTCAAACGACACGAATCAAAAGCCTTATGGACAGCATATTAAGAGCGCCGTCACATATGAAAATGTAGACCCAATGAGACCACACAATGACTTACCGTCCCCTCAAAGCATGGATCATACGTTTCGACAAACGGGAAGAAGTTTTGATGAAGACTTGCATTTAATGAATGAGACAAACGCTAGAAACCTATGTTTTAATCATAAATTTAATGTTCAATCCTCTCGTAGTATTCAAGAGAATTGCTTTTTAAATGAGAAAAATAGTTATAAATTGAGTGCTTATGAGTCGGTATCCATCGATAGGAGGAAAATGGTGTCCACTCTTACGCTTAACTGGTCTTCACTTATATCTGCAATGATTTGTCATTTCACGGAATGGTATTTGAAGAATAAAGTCAATTATTTGACGAGAAATGTATTTTTCGGCTCAATTAANTTATTTGACGAGAAATGTATTTTTCGGCTCAATTAAGACTATTTGTCAAAACAGACGTTTACTGTATTTCACTATATTTCGCAAATATTGTAATTGTCTAACACTTAAGAAAATTATTTAAATATAAAACTAGATTACATTGATTGTGTGTCATAAAATTAAATTACTTACTGAATTACTAGTATGATTATAAACCTTTGTTTACTCTTATTAAAATATCAAAATTCACCCAGTTCCTTTTCGCATTAAATAATCTGTATAAATTAGGTGGTACTGGTATTTGAAATGTCATTTCACAGAATTACCAAATGTCAACTTTTAAAATCATTAATTATTTAATAATTAAAGAAAAATTTATTTATTTTTCAAGTTTTAAATATTTATAATTATATTTACACTACAGTTATAGTATTTGCAGTGAATTTTGAATAATACATAGGAATAGAAAACTCAATGTATATGATAATCTTAAATGATTTCAATTTTGCACATTTGGTCACAAATTGAGTTAAATCTGAATCCTTGAGTGTAATCTCATTAGTAGTTTTTATGACCAGAGAGTTGAGATGTAATTCAGACAAATCCAGTTTATACCTTCAAACTGCTCCGCATTAACCCCCACCAACACCACTGTCCCATTCCCTTGGCCGTCGCCCCCAACCCCCTCCATATCAAGTCCGACTGTTTGGCCCTTTTGTTCGCTTTCGATAGGATTACCCGTTTGAGTCACCATTTGGAGTAGAGTTGATACACAACTCAAAATGTATTGATTTGATTGGAAAAATAAATAAATAATTTATTAATTCTAAACATTAAATAAAGTTATATATTTTACGACACCATGAATTTAGTTACAATACAATACTGTATAACAATTGTTTGTTTAGTATATAAATTAATTGCACTTAACTGAAAATTAATACATATTTGCTTACAAATTATTGGTCTATTTTATATGCGATAATATTATTAATAATACATCATTTATTCTATATGTGAACATTTATTTCACTTATTCTCTAATCCTTTTAATCAACATATTTGATTATTTTTATGATTTGTGCCCACTTTGTCATGATTTCAATATTAATTGAGATTTCAAGTAAAACATTACTACAACCAGTTCACTGTATATCTTACTTTTGCATTTTTAGATATATTTAAGGACTTTTAATAACAACTAAGATTTAATCATAACATAATCATATCATAAGGTATGTGCCAAAGTGCAAATGCCCTTAATTTTCTATAGTGAGGGTTTACTGCAAGTGATAATTACTACATTATTACATATTTAGTATAAGAATAACATGTCATATAAAATACAGAATAAAGAAGTAAATGCTTATTATTAATAAGTTACTAATCATTGATTATGTGATATAAACAAAAATACTTTTCAAACATTGATTTTACAAAAGTCTAATCAAAATGACATTCAAATGTAGTTCTGTTAACAAGAATTGATGCGATAATTATAGGAATATTTAGGACATACTTTGGGTTTAACTCAAAAGATTAAGTAATATGTTACGTGTTTTGATGTCGGGTTTAGTGTTAAGATTATACTTAAGCCATATTGAAGTTATGGCTTATGTGAAGCCATATTCGATAATATGACGTTGAAGTATAGTATGTTTGACGGACTCTATTATAAATCTCGTGTTTTCCGTATCGGTTACACACGTAAAGTGACTGAAAATATCTTTTTCGGGGAATGGCTTTAACGACAAATACATTTTGAGTACAAAGTCGCGCGCCGGGAGGGCCTCCTTCACGGGGCCGTCGTATTCGGGAAAGTAGTCGACGAGATGTGACAACACTATCTTCTCTGAAAACAAATCGGTTTTGTTGAGGAATAGTATGAAAGACGAGTCCATAAACCACTTGCAGGTGATTATGGTGTGGAAGAGGGCCTGCGATTCCTCCATACGATTCTGCATATAGTGGTGGTTATGGTTGCACTCAAATAATGTCTGATCGTATTCATTGAGCGCCGCCAAGAAGATAATGGACGTCACGTTCTCGAAGCAGTGGATCCATTTCCGCCGTTCAGACCTCTGGCCCCCGACGTCCACCACACGAAAGAGCACAGAACTTAACTCAAACGTGTATTCATTGATACCTGTAGTCGGTATGCGAACCCTCAGTATATCCTCTCGAGTGGGCGTATAGGTGGGCGCCGATAGTCTATCGATGTCTTCGAAGTAATACTTTGCAGAATCACTCAATTGGTACTCATTTCGACGGTTATAACACTTTTGCACTCCAGAGTCATCCCATAGTTGTTTAACAGCCGATACTACCGGTGCGATCAGTTGTGTCAAGTGGTACACCTTGTAGTCCACATAAATAGTCTCTAAAAGCTCAGCATTAGTGCGGTTGTCATGGTTTTCATACTTAATATTTAAGTCATTCATGGCTTTAATGATAGACTGAATTGCGATAATAATGTTGTGATAAACGTATTGAATATAACTTTTTCTCTCAGACTCTGTGTAATCGCTGTTATGAATGATTCGCATTTGTTTAACAAAAGTACTTTTACCGGACTCTCCCGTTCCCAACAACAGGAGTTTGAGTTCACGTCGGGCGGCCTTTCTGTCCCTTTTGAGTGTCTCATCAATTAATTTGTTGATCTTTTTCTCCTCCTTTTCCAGAGAGATGTCTTCACCACAACGTTTCACACAAAACATACTGTCC